TGTTTCCGGGTTCTTTTTTGCGTGATCACGATTTGCCGAATCATTGGTCAAAACTAGTGTAATCAGCTGTGATAAGGCTCTCCGGTCTCCTCCACAGTACACCACCCAAGGGATTAGGAAAAGTGTCGATTGACGGGTTCTAATCGGACTTCCGTGGACGTATGGTGTCCTATACACAGCTGGACGATTTTTGTCTCAAATACCTTCCTAAGTAATATGTTAAAATCTGCAGTATTGTACATCATAACAGGTGTCATGTATCAGGTTTCTGTATCAGGTGTTCTTTATCAGGTGTCCTGTATCAGTTGTCTTGTATCAGGTGTTCTGTATCAGGTGTCCTGTATCAGGTGTTCTGTATCAGTTGTCCTGTATCGGATGTTCTGTATCAGGTGTCATGTATCAGGTGTTCTGTATTCTGTATCAGATGTCCTGTATCAGGTGTTCTGTATCAGTTGTCCTGTATCAGATGTTCTGTATCAGATGTTCTGTATCAGGTGTTCTGTTCCAGATGTTCTGTTTCAGTTGTCCTGTATCAGGTGTTCTGTATTCTGTATCAGGTGATCTGTATTCTGTATCAGGTGTTCTTTATCAGGTGTTCTGTATCATGTGTTCTGTATAAGGTGTTCTGTATCAAGTGTTCTGTATCAAGTGTTCTGTATCAGGTGTCCTGTACAATCCTACAGTGTCAGTCACCGTTACTGGTGTCCTGTACAATCCTACAGTGTCAGTCACCGTCACTGGTGTCTTGTACAAACCTAGTGTCAGTCACCGTTACTGATGTCCTGTACAGACCTACAGTGTCAGTCACCGTTACTGGTGTCCTGTCAGGTACGGTTTATGATGTCCTGTACAAACCTACAGTGTCAGTTACGGTTTGTGATGTCCTGTACAAATCTACAGTGTCAGTTACGGTTTGTGATGTCCTGTACAAACCTACAGTGTCAGTTACGGTTTGTGATGTCCTGTACAAACCTACAGTGTCAGTTACGGTTTGTGATGTCCTGTACAAACCTACAGTGTCAGTTACGGTTTGTGATGTCCTGTACAAACCTACAGTGTCAGTCACCGTTACTGGTGTCCTGTACAAACCTACAGTGTCAGTTACGATTTGTGATGTCCTGTACAAACCTACAGTGTCAGTTACGGTTTGTGATGTCCTGTACAAACCTACAGTGTCAGTTACGGTTTGTGATGTCCTGTACAAACCTACAGTGTCAGTTACGGTTTGTGATGTCCTGTACAAACCTACAGTGTCAGTTACGGTTTGTGATGTCCTGTACAAACCTACAGTGTCAGTTACGGTTTGTGATGTCCTGTAAAAACGAATAATCTATTGGTCTGTAAATAACGGTAGGTGTCGCTAAGGGTACATTATAATTATGAGTTTCTTCAGGACACTCAATATCATAAATTATGATGTTTGTAATTTGTAGAAAAGCGACGGTGCTTTGTATCGATGTAAGGAGAGTGCTTCCGACTTGATTGATAAGATGCTTCGTCTTTAGATGACCTAAGAACGAGTCAGGAACCGAATTCGCGTCATCGGTTTTTTTTCCTGCTTTGATACAATAATTACGGATAAGCAAACATTAACAATTTATTTTCTTCTAAGATGATTTTAAGCTTTATTATTTGGAAATACGGATTAAAATTTGTGTATGAAGCTTAACGTAGAGATATAGACGCTAAATCCACTGACTCACACAGCTCTCCATCAGCTACATTTAAAGCTTCCATTTCAGCTTATCGGGTTCCGTGTCAGTGTGAAACGAGACATTTATCCCTACTGCAACGGGATTCCATCCTAATAATCAGATCCCCACAGCCACTGATACAAGGACATTAAGTATGCCCATCAAACCCGATTACATGTCCGTATATAGCTGGCGAATATAGATCTGACAACGTTTTCACGTAAGGACGGGAGTAAAGAAGGCTGAAAATATTGTCACTTGGGGACGAGAGTTGGTAGGTTTGACATTGCTGTCACCTGGGCACGAAATTTAGTAGGTTTAGCAATGTTGTCACTTGGAGACGACATTTAGTACGTTTTACATTGTTGTCACTTGCCGACGAGAGTTTGTAGGTTTTACAATGTTGTCACTTGGGGACGAGAGTTGGTAGGTTTTACAATGTTGTCACTTGGGGACGAGAGTTGGTAGGTTTTACAATGTTGTCACTTGGGGACGAGATTTAGTAGGTTTGACAATGTTGTCACCGGCCTGGAGAACGTTATAGTGACGGTCGTGTTCGGGTGTACAGTCGGACTGGAGAACGTTACAGTGACGGTCGTGTTCGGGTGTACAGTCGGACTGGAGAACGTTACAGTGACGGTCGTGTTCGGGTGTACAGTCGGACTGGAGAACGTTACAGTGACGGTCGTGTTCGGGTGTACAGTCGGACTGGAGAACGTTACAGTGACGGTCGTGTTCGAGTGTACAGTCGGACAGGAGAACGTTACAGTGACGGTCGTGTTCGGGTGTACAGTCGGACTGGAGAACGTTACAGTGACGGTCGTGTTCGGGTGTACAGTCGGACAGGAGAACGTTACAGTGACGGTCGTGTTCGGGTGTACAGTCGGACTGGAGAACGTTACAGTGACGGTCGTGTTCGGGTGTACAGTCGGACTGGAGAACGTTACAGTGACGGTCGTGTTCGGGTGTACAGTCGGACTGGAGAACGTTACAGTGACGGTCGTGTTCGGGTGTACAGTCGGACTGGAGAACGTTACAGTGACGGTCGTGTTCGGGTGTACAGTCGGCCTGGAGAACGTTACAGTGACGGTCGTGTTCGGGTGTACAGTCGGACTGGAGAACGTTATAGTGACGGTCGTGTTCGAGTGTACAGTCGGACTGGAGAACGTTACAGTGACGGTCGTGTTCGAGTGTACAGTCGGACTGGAGAACGTTATAGTGACGGTCGTGTTCGAGTGTACAGTCGGACTGGAGAACGTTACAGTGACGGTCGTGTTCGAGTGTACAGTCGGATTGGATAACGTTACAGTGACGGTCGTGTTCGGGTGTACAGTCGGACAGGAGAACGTTACAGTGACGGTCGTGTTCGGGTGTACAGTCAGACTGGAAAACATTACAGTGACGGTCGTCACGAGGCAAAGAAACCCGTGACGTGGACGTGTGACGTCGACCTTGTTAGAGATATGACAAATCATTCCCCAAATATTTCTACGTTATTTGATCAATTCCATACTTCAGAGATGTGTGGTATGTATCAACCGAATAGTGAACACACAAAGTATGAACTTGAGAATGTTCATCCCATTTCATTCCATTGACTATATACTGCAATTTCAAATTAACCAAATGTCTGATTCATTGTGTCATTATGAAGATAATTCGCTGTAATGAGGTAAAAAATGACATATCATTTTGCGTACGAATTAAACAGTTGATGCACCATTTCGATTTCCCAATGGCATATCATATAATCTAGTTAATCTTGTAACAGTAAAGCGACCCAGAAGACTAGGACATTGCGATATTTCCGGGAGACGGAAATTGTCGGTTGACTCTAATAGCCCGCCCACGAAGTTATTGTAGTTATATTGTGAACGGAGATATCGGTCATGTAAATCTAAAAGAATTTCCGATCATTTATGAAATGTAAGTTTAGAGCTGTGAGGGAAATTTGACCTCTGTAGGAACCATAGGAAAGATTGATTAGTCTGGGGCTTGCCAATGTCACGTGTTTTTGCCATTGAACTCAAACAAAAACGTAAAACACAAAATAGAAATAGTCGATATGTTAAAAATGACCAACCAAACAGTTTAAAAAGTCATGTTTAATGTTACACAAGTCATGTCTAATGTCTACACAAGTCATGTTTAATGTGTACACAAGTCATGTCTAATGTGTACACAAGTCATGTCTAATGTGTACACAAGTCATGTCTAATGTGTACACAAGTCATGTCTAATGTGTACACAAGTCATGTCTAATGTGTACACAAGTCATGTTTAATGTGTACATAAGTCGTGTCTAATGTGTACACAAGTCATGTCTAATGTGTACACAAGTCATGTCTAATGTGTACACAAGTCATGTCTAATGTGTACACAAGTCATGTCTAATGTTACACAAGTCATGTCTAATGTCTACACAAGTCATGTCTAATATGTACACAAGTCACGTCTAATGTGTACACAAGTCATGTCTAATGTGTACACAAGTCACGTCTAATGTGTACACAAGTCATGTCTAATGTGTACACAAGTCCTGTTTTATGTCTACACAAGTCATGTCTCATATCGATGACACCCACCATATTTACCTTGGTCTATGCAGTCACGGTCTCAAATGAGAATTTGACATCTTGTTACCATCAGAAAATCGATGATGAATTTGACATCTTGTTACCATCAGAAAATCGATGATGAATTTGACATCTTGTTACCATCAGAAAATCGATGATGAATTTGACATCTTGTTACCATCAGAAAATCGATGATGAATTTGACATCTTGTTACCATCAGAAAATCGATGATGAATTTGACATCTTGTTACCATCAGAAAATCGATGATGAATTTGACATCTTGCTTGAATCAGAATCAGTGAAGAATTTTACTTCTTTCTTGAATGTACATCTCTCTTCCCGACTTTTGAACAAAACACAAACATTTCTGTCGTTTCTACATGTAACTTAAGTTGGCAAATTCAAGGACACTTCAAATTTTTCTCAGAAATGCACTATATTTGTTCTTATTAATACAGATCTTGTTTTAGAATATAAATTGTTAATATTTTTCTGAACATATTGTTTCATGAAAGAAATAAACCAAGATTGAATTTGTTCCCCTTTAATTGATTGAAGAGCACAGTATTGTTTTTCTTTGCATCACATGGAACAGACAAGCTCTATATTGTTTTTGATACCAGGTTGTGTCACGTTTGTTTAGAACTTTTAGAAATACTAACGTCATGACCTAACAACAGCTCCAAGGCCTTTGGATCATTTGTCTAAAGCGAAAACACAGCCTGACATTTTTAATAATTGTTTATTTTTTATAGAAAAATATGAGCACTACAAAGTTATCTTTCATGAAGTATATATAAATGTCCATAGGGTCATCAATGGTATTACAATATTCATTAACACTGATGATATTTGTATCAGTTTTGATTAAATAAGAAAAAATATAACAATACAATTATGTGGACTACACTGACACTTATTATTGAAAAGATGTTAAAGCTTTCCTAGTACTTGCATATATGTACAACTGTAAAGATACGTAATGTTGAAAAAGTTGACATTCTTGAAAAGTTGACAATATCTTATTTGATGTGTTTACTAGACAGCTTTGTAAACAAATTTCTGGTGTAATATATCTAGGATACATATCTCTCCTCCAAAACATTTCTCTATCAATCTGATGAAGGCTGTTTGTATGATTACTACATCACCTGAGCAGAAAGATATGTTAGCATTGTTGACAAAGAAGTCACTGTAATAAAGTTATGGGGTGACTGTTGGATAACAAATGAATGCAATGCCAGGTGTTGATAAACCACTTAACAGCCATGATCCTTTAAACAAATCTTGCCAGACTTGATAAATCTAGTACAACCACTATATAGACACAACAAAAATCATAAACTACCTCCGTAGTCATACAATACTGTGTGGAAGTCCTAGTTGTATATTATAAGGATAACAAATTTATAAGAAAAATGCATGATCTACTTTTGTTATTTTAATTTCAGAAAGAGGCTCATGAATATAGGATAGAAATCAACTTAAATATACATTGTAAGCCGAGTTTCACAGGGCTTCGCAATTTATACCCAGTTCCACTGGTACAACTGTACATGTTTATACCCAGTTCCACTGGTACAACTGTACATGTTTATACCCAGTTCCACTGGTACAAGTGTACATGTTTATACCCAGTTCCACTGGTACAAGTGTACATGTTTATACCAAATTTCACTGGTACAACTGTACATGTTTATACCAAGTTTCACTGGTACAACTGTACATGTTTATACCAAGTTTCACTGGTACAGGTGTACATGTTTATACCAAGTTTCACTGGTACAGGTGTACATGTTTATACCAAGTTTCACTGGTACAAGTGTACATGTTTATACCAAGTTTCACTGGTACAAGTGTACATGTTTATACCAAGTTTCACTGGTACAACTGTACATGTTTATACCAAGTTTCACTGGTACAAGTGTACATGTTTATACCAAGTTTCACTGGTACAAGTGTACATGTTTATACCAAGTTTCACTGGTACAAGTGTACATGTTTATACCAAGTTCCACTGGTACAAGTGTACAGACATACACTTAACTGTTATGAATACTTACTTTATATAAAAAACATTTAACATTTTAAAGCAAAAACCAACCACTTTGATCAATTTAAACATAAGATGAAGATTACTTCACTGTCATATTAAAAAAAACCATGACAAGCTCATAATAGTGAGCAGAAGGGGACACAAACAAACAGGGTAATGTGAGATGTAGAATGGGACACAAACAGTCAGGGTCATGTGAGATGTAGAATGGGACACAAATAAACAGGGTCATGTGAGATGTAGAATGGGACACAAACAGTCAGGGTCATGTGAGATGTAGAATGGGACACAAATAAACAGGGTCATGTGAGATGTAGAATGGGACACAAACAGTCAGGGTCATGTGAGATGTAGAATGGGACACAAACAGTCAGGGTCATTTGAGATGTAGAATGGGACACAAAACAGTCAGGGTCATGTGAGATGTAGAATGGGACACACACAGTCAGAGTCATCATGTGAGATGTAGAATGTTACACAAAACAGTCAGGGTCATGTGATATGTAGACGGGGACACAGTCATACAAGATGTAGATGGGGACACAAACAGTCAAACGAGGTGTAGAAGGGGATACAGTCAGTGTCATGTGATATGTAGATTGGGACACAAACAGTCAGGTCATGTGAGATGAAGATAGGACACTACATAACAAGAGGACAAAAGGACCTGTATTGCTCACCTAGATCCAAGCAATAGTCCAGCAATGGTATATATGCCTATAGGTTGGGTATTTCAAATATTTCCAAATTCTTTAATGGGGCAAGACCAATAGGTAAAATCTTATATCATGTCTGTTTTTCTCCTTTGAAACCCAGCAAAAGTTTATGAGGCTATTGAGTTGGTACCTTAACTATGTAGAAAAAAAAAAATTACCTAGAAATGATGTCCACTGAGGTGTGCCACACCCAAGGTACAATTTATACATGATGCATGTGTTAATCTCTTGATGCCAAGCAATTCTCAATATGATGGTGGGATGAGGATCTAAATTGTTTCAAAGATATAACACATTTCCAAAATTTAGTCCCTTCACTTCTACCCTAGGGGGCTAAAACCCACCATTTTTACAAGAATTGATTCCCCTTCACTTAAAAATGCTACATACCACATTTGGTTAAAATGCCATCATACCTACAAGAAGAATAGGATTTTAAAGAATTTGCTCTTTCTCTATTAGGCCCTGCCCGTCATGTCCCAAGGGGCTGATACCCACTGTTTAAACAAAATATATTCCCATTTACCAAGCATGATTCAGATCAAATTTGGCCAAATCAAATCACTCCTACAAGAGTAGTAGGATTTTAAAGAATTTACTCTATTTCCCCTTTTAGGCCTAGCACTTCGGACCTTTGGCAAGGACCTTCAAACACCATTTATAAAAAAATATAGTCAACTTTCCTTAAGGATGCTTCTGACCAAATTTGGTCAGCATCCTCTCAGTTGTAAAACAAAAAGCCCAAAGGTCTTAATGGTCACTGGAGTTTAAATGCTTCTTGTAACATGTCAAAGAAATAATTTTGTTAGAAAAAGTAAGATAACTATGACTACAATGTACACATTATGCAAAGGTTAACTGTGCACAACATTAACTGTCCCATGCTAAAGCTTTTATCCAAGGTTGAATCAAAAGAAATGACACTGACAAATGTAATTTCCCTATATAAACTACAGTAAATTTTACCCCCTCCCCAGAGGGAAATGTGAGAACCTGGGATCATGAAATTTACACTTTTGGTAAAACATCTGAAGGCCTTTATTTGATTCTACTATACTAAGATTTTTGACGATTCAATCAATTTTACTCATTTGGCATCGCCCCTCAGGCCCCTGAGGGTTGGGAACCATTTAATTTACAATTCTGATGTGCCATTATCCATGGAAGGTTTTATTAAAACTCACTGAAATTGGTGCAAGAGTTTTCCAGAAGTTGAAAATGTTCTTTATGACACAAGACAAACGACGATCACCAAAATTTGACAGACAATGGACACTGCAGTATCCCTATAGCTCACTTGAACCTTTAGGCCAGAGGAGCTAAACTCATAATAATTTTACAATTTGTAACAAAGAGTATAAACAATATAACCAGTATATTAATTTTGGCGGAAACAAAATGCCTTTCAGCTTGTTTGAGTGCAGATAATGAGCTTCTATCCTTTATATATCAACCCATTCAGAATTCACTGCGAAATGGTAAATTATCAGGTACACGAGAAGAGCCAATAACATTAGTAAATATGTAATGTTGGGTACAACAATCATGAAATAAAAAACAAAAATTCACAGAATGCATACAGTTGTGAATTTTCTTCAACAAAGTTGTGTATCATAACATGTCAACAATATAAGTCACAATTAACAACAGGTTCTTCTATAAAGTTTCAAGATGGTTAAATGTACAAAAAATTGCCCAAAGAAAAAGCCTTTGTAAATGAGTAGAAAATGGGGGGAAAATATATTGATGAACAAAGATAAGTTTATAGCATCAAGATTTACACCTAATATAAAATTTATCATTCATTCCTGCACACAACCTCGCAACTAGCGTTAAACTCACTCCATTAATTGTATGTACACAAATTATAAAATGTATTACTCAATTAAGTATTCATGTTTATATATACTACTGTGTTACAGGTACACTATAATCTTATACATCTATCTGTTAGCAACCAGTGAGAAGCATGAAGCTTTTTAGTGTTATTGGCATTGATGAGGAGTACTGATTTTTAAGAGGTACATGGGTATTTTAAATGAGAATTTGATTAAAAAAAAGAACTTTTGTAGTTCACCCCACATCAAAGAGCATTTTCCATGCTACAGGATAACATACGATACAAAACATCAGCATAAGAGATAACATTCTAAAATATATTTCACTCTCTGCTTGTCCAAGTTCAAAACTTACCTAGATTGTGATGAGTTTTTGTTGGAAAACCAATATCACTCATCACCAATAAGTGACATTTTACACGAGATTTGTCTTAAATATTGACAGAGTCTCACATAAAAAATTGGATATTTTTACTTAGATCTGGATTTTTATAATCTGACATTTGTTATTTTCCATCAAAATCATGTGCTTATTTAACATTGTTGAAAATTAGCTTTTCCAGCCTATTTTTTGCCTTTGCACTTTAAGCAGGACACAACATTGGAATCTGAATGTAAACACTAACTAGAGTTAACAATTTTCTCAGAATTATTCATCATTTCCATCATGAAATACTTTTCTAGCTGTATTCATATGAAAATAACAATATTTTAAATGCATATGGTAACTTATGACTTCACTACAGAACGATGAAGAAACTGCAGGGTAACACACACTAATTGCAGTCCGTTGTAAGTGAAATACTTAAAAACAGATTTTAACAAATTTGAATCCTGTACCTTTGAATATCAATCAAGGTCTTCATTTGAAAAAAACTTAATAGTGATAGCCTTTCATTCTCCCATTTGTTTGAGAATTAAACATGAATCATTTGAAACCAGGTATTTAACTGGATCCTGGATTTATCATTAACCCTCTTTATAAATCGAAGTCATTCTATATTGATAAAGATGTACCTTCCATTTTAGAGATTGCTGAATAAGTGACCATCTGTTGATGTTTTATTATGTTGTTTGGTTCATGTAACTCCAAAACTAATAAAGAGGATATTCTGTCAGTGGTGTCGAAAATCCTACACAGCGATATATCTGTCAGTGGTGTCGAAAATCCTACACAGTGATATCATATCTGTCAGTGGTGTCGAAAATCCTACACAGCGATATATCTGTCAGTGGTGTCGAAAATCCTACACAGCGATATCATATCTGTCAGTAGTGTCCACAATCCTACACAGTGATATCATATCTGTTTGTCCACAATCCTACAGTGATATCATATCTCTCTGTCCACAATCCTACACAGTGATATCATATCTGTCAGTAGTGTCCACAATCCTACACAATGATATCATATCTGTCTGTCCACAATCCTACACAGTAATATCATATCTGTCTGTCCACAATCCTACAGTGATATCATATCTGTCTGTCCACAATCCTACACAGTGATATCATATCTGTCAGTAGTGTCCACAATCCTACACAATGATATCATATCTGTCTGTCCACAATCCTATACAGTGATATCATATCTGTCTGTCCACAATCCTACACAGTGATATCATATCTGTCTGTCCACAATCCTACAGTGATATCATATCTCTCTGTCCACAATCCTACACAATGATATCATATCTGTCTGTCCACAATCCTACAGTGATATCATAACTCTCTGTCCACAATCCTACACAATGATATCATATCTGTCTGTCCACAATCCTACAGTAATATCATATTTGTCTGTCCACAATCCTACACAATGATATCATATCTGTTTGTCCACAATCCGACACAGTGATATCATATTTGTCTGTCCACAATCCTATACAGTGATATCATATCTGTCAGTAATGTTCACAATCCCACACAATGATATCATATCTGTCTGTCCACAATCCTACATAATGATATCATATCTGTCTGTCCACAATCCTACACAGTAATATCATATCTGTCTGTCCACAATCCTACAGTGATATCATATCTGTCTGTCCACAATCCTACACAGTGATATCATATCTGTCAGTAGTGTCCACAATCCTACACAGTGATATCATATCTGTCTGTCCACAATCCTACACAATGATATCATATCTGTATGTCCACAATCCTACACAGTGATATCATATCTGTCTGTCCACAATCCTACACAGTGATATCATATCTGTCTGTCCACAATCCTACAGTGATATCATATCTGTCTGTCCACAATCCTATACAGTAATATCATATTTGTCTGTCCACAATCCTACACAGTGATATCATATCTGTCAGTAGTGTCCACAATCCTACACAGAGTTATCATGCATGCCCATGTAAGATCAACTTGACCATATCACTTGTGAGGTCATAGTATCACTTACAGGTCATACAAAGATCCAGGTGTGATATCATACATGTGAGGTCATAGTATCACTTACAGGTCACACAAACATCCAGGTGTGATATCATACATGTGAGATCATAGTATCACTTACAGGTCACACAAACATCCAGGTATGATATCATACATGTGAGATCATAGTATCACTTACAGGTCACACAAACAACCAGGTGTGATATCATACATGTGAGATCATAGTATCACTTAGAGGTCATACAAAGATCCAGGTGTGATATCATACATGTGAGATCATAGTATCACTTACAGGTCATACAAAGATCCAGGTGTGATATCATACATGTGAGGTCATAGTATCACTTACAGGTCATACAAAGATCCAGGTGTGATATCATACATGTGAGGTCATAGTATCACTTACAGGTCATACAAAGATCCAGGTGTGATATCATACGATCAATAAATTAATCTTCTAACCATGTTGGTCAAGAGTTTGCAGCTACTTATGGTGATGGTAAGAATTTACACATGTGAACACTTTGATATGTTTAATTTGCGTTTTAGTAAAGCTAATAAGAGGCCCATAGGGCCTGTATAACTCACCTAAATTTGCTTGGCTGAAATTGCTTCATTTAACTGAAGGAAAGGGAATCTTAAATATTCAAGCACATGACACAAAACATCTATTTTCCTATCGAACCCCAACCCTCTGTCCTTAAGGGGTTAGCCAAACCATTTATACTTCAGGCCAAAACAATTCTACAGGAGAGTAAAATACTAAAGAATTTGCCCTATTTCCAATATTGGGCCCCACTCCTCCCTCTCTTGGGGGCGGAGACCCAAAGGTTACACAAAATGCTTACCTTCAACCAAGAATGTTTCAGATCCAAAATCCAAACATTCCTACAACAGGAATAGGATTATTAAAGAATTTGCTCTATTTTCCTTGTTGGGTTCCATTCCTGGGGACGAGACACACTGCTTATACAAAATTGATTATCCTTCACCTAAAAAATCTTCAGACCAAATTTGGACAAAATCCAATTATTCCTTCCAATTATTCCAGGCCAACAAGAGTGATTAACATAAGTTGGATAAACTTGCTTTGCAATTGTTGTAAAATAAAATTTATATTATCTATATATTCCTTCATGAGGAGTAGGATTTTAAAGAATTTGTGCAATTTCCCTATTGAGCCCAGCGGGAGGAGCAAAACCTTTTGAGTCTCATCCCTTATGCAACTGGGGATTGAGAACCATCATTTATGCAAAATTTATGCTACTTCCCCCAAGGATGTTTCTGACAAAATTTGGTCAAAATCAGCTTAATCATTCAAGATAGGTGGTGTTACGTAGAAAGCTGACAGGCGGATGACAGACACCACAGTATGCCAATAACACACTTGGTCCTTCAGGCCAGGTGAGCCAAAAATTTCAATATTGTAGTTTAGAAGTTAAAGCTATGTTTTCATAAATCTTTGGGAGAATTTAGCACTGGGAGAACAAGTTCACAGCTGACGTTTTTCCCCACTATACTGTTATATTGTCTATCAGGTTAGAAATTAACTTCAAACCTGTCATTATTAAGTATTATCTTTCAGGCAAGAGGGGATTTAAAAGGGAGTGCTTGGGAATGGTGATCTGAGGGGATTAAAGAACAGACGAGGTTTGACAAATTACTTTGTACAAAAATAGCAGAGACACCATTTGAAGATAATAACTTGCCATCGATTAAACTGGTGAAGTGTCCTGCACAAGTAAACATAACTTAAAATATTGTTTTCAATGATATCAAAATACAAACAAGTGATAATGCAGATGAAAGTCTAAGTGTCCTGCAGTGAGAGCCAAGCTTTCCAGAATGAACTTGACTGGTCTGAATTCATGACAAAAGTGTGAGATTGCAGTCCTGAAATAACATTCAGACAAGGATCACACAGCTGTGGAACTTTTTGGTCTGTTTTTTCCCCTCCTTTGAGCCAGAATTGAGGCTCCAACTGGTTCTAACACAGGCTTTGGCTGTTCTTTTAGTGCCTCAAATGTGGCATGCATCGCTCCCTGAAACAATAGAGAATGTGGTTAGAAAGTCTACTTCAAAAGATGTACTTCCTCATCCATTACACTGATAAAGTGTACCAGAATTTCTGGTCTCCAATACTCCATGATGCCAGCTTTCAGTTCACTAAGGCAAGATGACTGACTTCAGTGTGTTACAGATCACTAACCTGGTGTGTCTGACTTCATTGTGTCACAGATCACTAACCTGGTGTGTCTGACCTAGTGTGTCACAGATCACTAACCTGGTGTGTCTGACCTAGTGTGTTACAGATCACTAACCTGGTGTGTCTGACTTCATTGTGTTACAGATCACTAACCTGGTGTGTCTGACCTAGTGTGTTACAGATCACTAACCTGGTGTGTCTGACTTCAGTGTGTCACAGATCACTAACTTGGTGTGTCCGACTTCATTGTGTCACAGATCACTAACCTGGTGTGTCTGACTTCAGTGTGTTACAGATCACTAACCTGGTGTGTCCGACTTCATTGTGTCACAGATCACTAACCTGGTGTGTCTGACTTCAGTGTGTTACAGATCACTAACCTGTTATGTCTGACTTCAGTGTGTTACAGATCACTAACCTGGTGTGTCCGACTTCATTGTGTCACAGATCACTAATCTGGTGTGTCTGACCTAGTGTGTTACAGATCACTAACCTGGTGTGTCTGACTTCAGTGTGTTACAGATCACTAACCTGGTGTGTCTGACCTAGTGTGTTACAGATCACTAACCTGGTGTGTCCGACTTCATTGTGTCACAGATCACTAACCTGGTGTGTCTGACTTCAGTGTGTTACAGATCACTAACCTGGTGTGTCTGACTTCAGTGTGTTACAGATCACTAACCTGGTGTGTCTGACCTAGTGTGTTACAGATCACTAACCTGGTGTGTCCGACTTCATTGTGTCACAGATCACTAACCTGGTGTGTCTGACTTCAGTGTGTTACAGATCACTAACCTGGTGTGTCTGACTTCAGTGTGTTACAGATCACTAACCTGGTGTGTCTGACCTAGTGTGTTACAGATCACTAACCTGGTGTGTCCGACTTCATTGTGTCACAGATCACTAACCTGGTGTGTCTGACTTCAGTGTGTTACAGATCACTTACCTGGTGAATTCCATGTGGAAAGCAATTTGAACCGAAATCGGAAACTTTTTTAATATGCATTCCCGAACTAACAAATGAAAACAGAGGAAATGGAGAAAAAATTTAAATCGAAGTGTCAAGGACACTCATAGATGCAGTGTATGATATGTATTGAATTAAAGAAATAAAGGAGGTGACATATCAACATGTACTGGCAAATAAATCTGAGTGATTGGTCACGCTCATTATGTAAATGTGAAGGTTCTAGACACATAGTCATGAGATCTTCATATAATCATTTTGGTATGAGTGTAGTATGAGTGGTAATAAGTGATCATGTCCAGTCAAGTGTGACTCTCAAATCTGTACCTTTTGCAGTGTAGTGTATGGTTATAGGCCACTGAAGGTTTAAAGTAGTGAAATCTCATAGAATTGGTTGAATATTTTCAAGTGCTCATGCCCATACTAAAAAAAGGAACACCAAAGTATACTGTAATGCTGTTTTTAGTACCCACTTATTTGTACTTTTTCTGAAATGTATTTCCTAATTTTTCAATGTACATTTCTTTTGGTTTATAAATTTTTCAGAGTACGTTTTTTGTTCCAAATTCTAACTTACAAATTTCACAATACTGCTCAAAGCTTTTGTATTACTTTTCCCCTACTTTTGTACGACATTAAATTTTTCAACCGTACTTTTTTTTTAGTTTTATTTACTATATTCTGCCTTAGGACATATTCACATAGGGTGTGAAACAGTGTACTTTTTTCCTACATGTATCTGACTTAAGACTATCTTAACATTTCCCACAAAGACTCAAGTTTTTAAAGTATCAAAAATTAATTTTTTTGTCTTTTTTTTTTTTTTTTTTATAACTTTTCATTTTCAGATTAAAATAAAAAAAAACTTTCAGAAAGTTTCACAAAACATTTAAAAATAAAAAAAATTTCTGTCAAAATGTTACATAATCTGTTTTAAATTTCATTGTGGTATTGTGTTATCATTTTTATTATCATTGAGAGGAATGTGTTGGGAAGAGAGTAGACATTTCAGTTTGTTTGAAAACTGTTGTTATTGTAACTGGGAGGGTTACTAGAGAAATTTTGATCTCTGTACCGAGAGTTTCCTGTGACAAATTTCTGTATTTTGGAGTATTCTTTTGATAGGAAGTCAGACTGGTTTATTTCGTACTTTTAATAGTCCTTTTCATGACACATTTATGTCCTTTTGCATACTTTTTGGATACTGTTGAAATGTACAAATTAAATACTAAAGGAATACTGTTTTCATACTTTTTGTATGTTAAACTGTCCCACACAAAGCCTGTGTACGTTTTTCTTACTTAATACCATATCCTTTTTCTGTGCTGTTTTTGTACTTTTGCATACAAGTATACAACAACTAAAAACAATAACCAACGTTCATTCAGTGTAGATAAGGAAAAAATCTTCTATGTCCCAGAAGGATACCAAATAGTACGCAAGGTGCTCTTAAAAAGTAGATTAAAATCAAAAGATAGAGCATGAACTCCTGAGACAAGGCTTGGACAATATGTGACTGTCTACATGTTTCACCATGTAAGCCCCTTTTTAGTTATGTTATGGAATAATGACAAACTATCTAGTGTATAAGAAACTTTTAAAGTATAGACAAAGGGAGATAAATCAGTGTAGATGATAAGATATTTGTTCCAAATAGAGAAGAAGTGTAGTAATATCTGTATGTCATTTAAAACACGACATTTCTGCTTTCTCTTTTATATCTATTGATCTTATTAGCACATTTTCATAAAATCACAGCATCAACTACTTCATGAAATAATTTCAAAACACATTTTATATCTTTTTCGCTGAGATATATCTAGATTGTTGGGTGTTTTTGTGGTGTAAACTTAGGTCCAGGCTATATATTGCTTTGCTACAGAAGCACAGCGTTTTAAGATAGTGGGCTACATACCAAATTAATAACCGTTTGTTTAGCTATCTTAGGATCCTGCCCAGCACATTCGAGGATAATCTTACTGAGGAAACATACCGAGATGTTTCCATGATTGAGACGTTTTGGTTAGAAGTTGTTCGAGGGCTTTTTAATGTACAGTGAAAACTTACCTTAACTAATTGAGCATCCTGAAGTGTAAGTCGTAGGTGGGGCAGTGTTTCTCTGTGGGCAATCCAGGAGTTGTTGAGCACTTGTGTGGCTGTCAGTCGACTCTGAGGATCAACATGAAGCATTTTCTGTACAAGATCCTGGTAACAGAAAAAAAACAACAAAGTTAATACTTGAAGTGTTAGATATCATCAACAGTTGGTAATACAAATCTTAAGACTAATATCAGTGAAATACATTTCATATGGAGACATTGGCCAGTTACCTTTCTCATTACTATGACTCGGATGTTTATCTGGTCACCAGCGCTCAAAGTTGGAGTTTGACTCTAAGCTACACTGTGCCCCCACTCTCTTCGATAGTGGAGGAACATGGAGTCAGTGATTTCGCCAGTCACATCACTTATCTATAATATAGCCTTCTAATGCGTCCTGCCCCTCCTCCCTCACAGTGACAAGACTCGCCGTTTATGCAAAATTGATTCCCCTTCACCCAACAATGATGCAGATCAAATTTAGGCAAAATCCAATTATTTCTAAAGGAGGAGTAGAATTTTAAAACTCTATTTTAAGAATTCACCCCTATTTGACCCTGCCCCTCCTGCTCAGGGGGCTGAGACCCTAGGTTTATACAAAGATTCCACCAGAAGTAAAATTTTGAAGAAGTTCCTTAGTGGGCTCTGTCCCCCTCAGGCCCCAATCGTTTATACAAAACTGATTTCTCCTTCGTTAATGTTTTTGGACCAATTTGGGGCAAAATTGACCATTCCTACAGGTGGAGTAGGGTTTTAAAGAAATTGTTCTATTTCCCCTACTGGGCCCCGTCAGTCTGGCCCCAGGGGACCATGACCCATCATTTACACAAAATTGATTTCCCTTCAGTCAAGGATGCTTCAGCAAAATTTAGCAAAGTCCAATCATTTCTGCAAGAGGAGTATGATTTAACAAATTTGATCTATTTCCCTTCTTGGGCCCCATCCCTCTGGCCCCAGGGGGTCTAGAGACCAACAGTTTCCAGTTTTATCCTATTTTAGGACAAGTTTAGACAGAATCAATTATGTATGTGATCAGTACAGATAAAAGACTTCTATGATATCACATAATATGATACAATACTATGATACTCATGACTTTCAGAACTATCAATCATTTGTAATGCATTATTCATAACCAACAATATGCTGGTGATGGAATCCACCAATAGGCCGAATGATTTATAAAGACATATCACTATTGGATGTGTGTTGATACACACAAGCCTCAACAATATGGATAAATGCAAACTTCAGTGCCTATTAACAGGGTTAGATTAAGTGCAGTGCATCGTTTGAGGTATAACATTTTATTGAAATAAAGATTAATGTAGAAGTCCAAAGAACACTACTTTGCTTTTTTAGGCTAATGACAGTTCACCTGTTCAAACTGATGCACCAGATATACAAATTTGTTTAAGGAAATACAAGGTGATGAAGATAAATCTTCATATAGATAAAATAAGTTTATAATGAGCCTTTTGATAAAATAACAGATGCTTAACAAGAGATCCCAGAGGGATCTTGGCGCCCACCATTTGAGGATCTGTTTTCAGTTCTTGAAGATTTGTTTATTTTTTTTTGTTTGTTACAGGTGTTGTAAATGTTCATGAACTGGTCTTCATTGAATGTACTCAATGATGGCACAAGATATTTTTATTAAGCACCTATTAGCAAATATCATTTGAAAAAGATCCCAAAGTATCATTAGATAGCAGTCAGTTACAGGTGGATAATGGACAATATGCTTGTGCTGTATTACTGTCGACATACAAGATGGCTGCCTGTGGGCCACCTTGATTTCAAATCAGTCCAAGAAATGTACAATGTACAACTAGGGACCAAGGGAAACCAATATCTATGAAATATCAGAAGGATCCATCCAGTACTTCCTCAGATATTGCAGTAACAAGATTTTACTCTCAAAATCCAAGATGGCTGCCTGTCGGCCATTTTGATTTCGGATCAGTCCAAAAAGGTATAATGCACAACTTGGAACCAAAGGGAACCTGCATATGAAATTTGAGAAAGATCCATCCAGTACTTTCCAAGAAATAGAAGTAACAAACTTTTACATTCAAAATCCAAGATGGCCACCTGTCTGCCATCTTGAATTCAAATCAGTCCAAAAAAGGTACAATGCACAACTAGAGACTAAGGGGAAACTGCATATAAAATTTGACAAAGATCCATCCAGTCCTTTCCAAGAAATAGCAGTAACAAACTTTTACTTCCAAAATCCAAGATGGCTGCCTGTAGGTCATCTTGAATTCGAATCAGTCCAAAAAAGGTACAATGCACAACTAGGGACCAAGGGGAACCTGCATATGAAATTTGAGAAAGAGCAGTAACAAGAATTGTTTACGGATGGACGGACGGACGGACCACGGACCACAGATGCAGGGCGATTTGAATAATAGATGGTGGGCTAAAAATAAAGAATTTGGTGAAAGACTTTCTCAATTAACCTGTCCGTGTTAATCAAGACATAGAAATTGCACTGAAATGAAAATACAAATATATGTATATCCTTAGGCAACTAAAATTACAATCCAAAGGTATCCTGAATGATGTATATAACAATTACAAATGTAAACAATATATATCCTAATAACAAGGTTGATTATTAGAAAAGAGCGTAAAGTTGCTACAGACATCAAAGTTGTAAATGAGGATTTGTTTTTGGTTTTTTTTATAATGTTATGTATTTGCCCTGGTCATTTCTATCAATTTTTCCATGAGTTTTAATTTCTTTTAGCTCAAATTTTTAAGTTCTTTAGCACACAGGATATGCAGTCCACTCAGTTAGGTAGGGAGAAAAAATGTGTCGGGGGTGGGGACAGTATAGAGTCTCCTCTTTAACGGCTGGAGCATCACCACGGTGGAGTGTGGGAACAGTATATAGTCTCCTCTTTAACGGCTGGAGCGTCACCACGGTGGACTGTGGGGACAGCATAAAGTCTCTTCTTTAACCGCTGGAGCGTCACCACAGTGGAGTGGGGACAGTATATAGTCTCCTCTTTAACCGCTGGAGCGTCACCAGGGTGGAGTTGGGACAGTATATAGTCTCCTCTTTAACCGCTGGAGCGTCACCAGGGTGGAGTGGGGACAGTATATAGTCTCCTCTTTAACCGCTGGAGCGTCACTACGGTGGAGTGTGGGGACAGTATATAGTCTCCTTTTTAACCGCTGGAGCGTCACCACGGTGGAGTGTGGGGACAGTATATAGTCTCCTCTTTAACCGCTGGAGCATTACCACCATGGAGCATGAGGTGGTTTTTTTTTCCTTTTTTTTGTATACACTCCATGCTAAGGCCCTCCACTGGTTAACATGGAGAACACATGTAAGAGGGTGATTTGTAGTGTATTAAGCATACTGAATATTGCTGAAGCTGAAACAATACATGTCCTCCACCGACCCGACCCTCAGAAGTGACCTTGACCTTAACTTTTGATGAAAATCCCAACCCTCCTCCTCTCCCATTTCACCAGTATGGCTCTAATTATTATGCTTATATCATTAAAAAATATCATGACTAGGCTGATATCAGTGAATCACCTGGTACATGTATCACAAACTGATAATTTGTTGTCGTTACCTTTGCTGCTGGTGACACAGAATCCCAGTTTCCTCCAGATAATGTAAATTTACCAGTGCCAATCCTCGACAGGATGTCATTAGGTGTGTCCTTGGGACCATTTGCAAATGGTGTGTGACTATCAACAGAAAGTGAAACTGTGAAGAAGACATTAATGATTGGATATAGAACAGATGAACAGTCAGACACATTTTAGGTGAGATTACAGATGAAGAGATGAACAGTCAGAAAGACAGTAGAAAATACAGATGAAGAGGAAGAGAGTCTGACAAACAGAAAAACTGACATATGAAGAGATGGACAGTCTGATACAGAGTAGAACTGACAGATGAAGAGATAGACAGACAGATACAGAGTAAAACCGACAGATGAAGAGATTGACAGACAGATACAGAGTAGACCTGACAGATGAAGACATGGACAGACAGATACAGTGTAAAACTGACATATGAAGAGATGGAAAGTCTGATACAGAGTAGACCTGACAGATGAAGAGATGGAAAGTCTGATACAGAGTAGAACTGACAGATGGAGAGATAGAAAGACAGATAGAGAGTAGAACTGACAGATGAAGAGATAGACAGACATATACAGAGTAGAGCTAACAGATGAAGAGATAGACAGACAGATACAGAGTAGAACAGACAGATGAAGAGATAGACAGACAGATACAGAGTAGAAATGACAGATGAAGAGATAGACAGACAGATACAGAGTAGAACTGACAGATGAAGAGATAGACAGACAGATACAGAGTAGAACTGACAGATGAAGAGATGGAAAGTCTGATACAGAGAAGACCTGACAGCTGAAGACATGGACAGACAGATACAGCATAGAACTGACAGATGAAGAGAGAGACAGACAGAAAAGAACTGACATAAAGATAGTCAGACATGACACATGGACAAACAGTGGGATGACAGCTGGACAGTCCATGACAAATCTGATATTAGAATGGCAGGAAGACATCAACTAAGTGGTTATTTCATACCACTACACTACACGAGTTATCATAACCACCATACTGAGTAGCACTGACTTACCCTGCCAGCATAGTATACAGCAGTACACCCAAACTCCATATATCACAGGCTGCATCATATCCTTGACGCTTCAGTACCTGAAAAACAAAAATAAGGCTTTAACTGGCTGACACCAATTGAAAAAGAAGTTAGTGATATCAACAATTAGTGTACCTACAGTCAGTGATACCTACAGTCTGTGATATGTGATACCTACAGTCAGTGATATGTGATACCTACAGTCTGTGATACCTACAGTCAGTGATACCTACAGTCAGTGATATGTGATACCTACAGTCTGAGATACCTACAGTCAGTGATACCTACAGTCAGTGATACCTACAGTCTGTGATATGTGATACCTACAGTCAGCGATATGTGATACCTACAGTCTGTGATACCTACAGTCAGTGATACCTACAGTCAGTGATATGTGATACCTACAGTCTGAGATACCTACAGTCAGTGATACCTACAGTCAGTGATACCTACAGTCAGTGATACCTACAGTCTGTGATATGTGATACCTACAGTCAGTGATATGTGATACCTACAGTCTGTGATACCTACAGTCAGTGATACCTACAGTCTGTGATATGTGATACCTACAGTCAGTGATATGTGATACCTACAGTCTGAGATACCTACAGTCAGTGATACCTACAGTCAGTGATACCTACAGTCTGTGATATGTGATACCTACAGTCAGTGATATGTGATACCTACAGTCTGTGATACCTACAGTCAGTGATACCTACAGTCAGTGATATGTGATACCTACAGTCTGAGATACCTACAGTCAGTGATACCTACAGTCAGTGATACCTACAGTCTGTGATATGTGATACCTACAGTCAGTGATATGTGATACCTACAGTCTGTGATACCTACAGTCAGTGATACCTACAGTCTGTGATATGTGATACCTACAGTCAGTGATATGTGATACCTACTGTCAGTGATACCTACATTCTGTACCTACAGTCTGTGATATCAGTTAAATGAATTGACATTTCACCTTCTGGTTATTGAGAAGAAGTGGTTTGAAAGAAAAGCCATGGTTTAATTTTTAGACAACATAGCATGAGCTCACCTGACCTTGGGGACAGGGAAGCTGATAATCAACTCACCTCTGGTGCAACAAAATTAGCTGTATAGCAGGGAGTCATTAGGAGACCATTATCTGCTCTTAGCTGCTTAGCAAAACCGAAGTCACATATCCGAAGACTGTCAGGTGACCCACTCTCATCAGCATACAATATATTGGATGGTTTTAAGTCTCTATGTACAACCTGTAACAGACAAACATCAGATATTCAAAGATTTTTTAAGAAGCCAGAAAGGCCTGTATTGTTCACTAGGATAATTAAGTTCTATACTGAGAGAAACATTGCTGCTCTGGACTTTGTTCATGAGATAATCATATTCATGAGATGGCCAAACCATATCCATGAGATGGCCAAACCATATTTATGAGATGGCCAAACCATATCTATGAGATGGCCAAACCATATCCATGAGATGGCCAAACAATATCCATGAGATAAACCAAACCATATTCATGAGATAACCAAACAAAGATCCAAGAAATAGCGATAACAAACTTTCAAAGTCAAAATCCAAGATGGCTACCTGTCGGTCATTTTATTTTTTTTATCAAACCCAAAATCAAATGGGCACAACTATGAACCGAGAAGAACCTACAATAAAATTTGAAAGAGATCCATCAAGTACTTCTCAAGAAATAGCAAAGTCAAAATCCAAGATGGTGACCAGTCAGCCAATTTAATTGTTTTATCAGTCCCAGAATTACATGGGTACAACCAGAGACAAAGGGGAACCCACATTTGAAATTTGAAAGAGATCCGTCATGTAATTCTCAAGAAATCGCAATAACAAACTTTCAAAGTCATAACTCAACATGACCACCTGTCAGCCAGTTTACTTGTTTGATCTTGTTTGATCAGACCCAAAATCACATGGGCACAACTAGGGACCAGGGGGAACCTACATAAGCAATTTTAAAGTGATCCATCCTGTACCTCTACAGAAATAGCAATAATAAGCTTTCAAAAACAAAATCCAAGATGGCCGCCAGTCAGCCAATTAAATTTTTTAACGGACCCAAAATCACTTGGGCACAACTAGGGACCAAGGGGAACATAGATATGCAATTTAACAGAGATCCATCAATTACTTTTAAATAAATAGCAATAAAAAACTTTCAAAGTTAAAATCAAAGATGACTGCCTTTGGCCATTTCGTTTTTCTGATCAGTCCTAAAATTACGCAGGCACAACTAGAGACCAAGGAGAACCTACATTGAGAAAGATCCTTACAGGACTTCTCAAGAAATAGCCTAACCAAAATTGTTTATAGATGGAAGGACAGATGGACAGACTGACAACAGATGACAGACCACCGACACAGAGCGATCTGAATAGTCTACCATCTGATGATGGTGGGCTAAAAATGAAACATATTTAGATTACAAAATATATTTATAAATACATGCATTCACAGTAAATACTATAAAGACAATCTGAAAACAACCAACAGCATCATATTGACAAGTCTATTGTCATCTAATCAAGGGAGATAACTCCACTTATATCAGCCACTTGACTGAACAAGGCAGTCTGGAAAACTCGTAATCCAGATGATTTTGGCCATAAGAAGGTGTCCGGATTATCATTGCTAGATTGTATTTCCTGCTAAAATGTTTGTCCTTCAGTAAAATTTCGAAAAAAACTGAGACTACTTTGCTATTGAGTCAGTCTGAAAAGAATTTTACTTTATAACAAAGTACTACATATCATCATAACGTGTGTTGTAATATGTATCCTTCATCATTCATAAAGTGTGGAAAGGTCAACATCAGTTTGAACACTTCAAAATATGCCACCTTTTTTGATATTCTATGTTATTTGTAACATAAAATGCTTGGTGCCATTTCAATACCTACTTCTGGCTGGTCTTATACTGCAACAATGTCTGGGCTTACATTGCGAGATCAGAGACTGGTCTGGGTGTACATGGTAAGATTGCACTACTTTGACAGATTTCGTCAATTGAATCACACTGGGTTGGTTATTTTACACAACATATTTTATATAACATATCTGGAAAGACTTACGCCATTTGAATGTAGATATTCCACAGTTTTTGCTACAACTTGTAACACAGCACTGGCTTCTCTTTCAGAAAAGAATCGTTGTCTGAGAATTTTATCTAGCAGTTCTCCACCTTGCATTAGTTCTGTTACCATGTATACTTTGTTCCCGTTATCAAAAACCTGTAAAATAAAAAAAAATCATCCGTAAGTTAATGCTTCTTGGGATCAAGGTACCTTATCAATAGTTTGATGAGGGAGTCAGTTGGATCCAGTATAACAAATACTTACATCCCGCAAAGAAATGATGTTTGGATGGTGGCCAAATCTGAGCAAAATTTCCACCTCTTCGGAGGGGTCCCTCTTCTCTTTGTCCATGATCTAGTGAAACAAACACATATTTTTCATTTTGTCAAACTAAACAAATACACAGCAAAGTGAAACCAGCTGGGTCCACATCATCCACCTTGATAATTAATCGATCATGAAAAATGGTTAAGAAATTCAGCTGAAGCAAGGTCTTTCAGTAAATTTCAATTGAGGTAGCTATAGTTCTACAACTGATCAACAGCTGATGTACTACCTACATTAAAATTGTGATAATGGCTGCCGACTCAAAACAATGTAAACCCCTGACACAGCCTAAAACAAATGTTTTTATCTTAACATTGTTCAAAATGAGGACAGAAAACCAGACACAATGTACTTACTTTTACAGCAAAGCTGCCTCCTGTCAGCTTGTGGATACAGCGTTTGCATACAGAATAGGACCCTATACCAATATCCTGAAAAAAACCATTTCACAGTCATACATTCTTCATATTTGTCATTCACATAAATGGTATAGTACACGCTACAAGAGCCATCAATTGGTGTACCTGACACTGATAGTCGTTTGATGATTCCAGTATGAGCTACCTGTATCAATGTGTGTAGCTGGTGTTTGTTCTAAGACAGACGGGTGGAGGGCAATGGACCACAGACACAGAACAATTTGAATAGCTCATCATCTGTTGATATGGGATTATTTGAAACTTATTAGACGTAAAACATGTACTGTACCTCTTTCATTTCATATTCATCGGAAAACTGAATGGACTTCACACCTGGCAACTGAAAAAAAGAGCACTGATATTAATGAAATGCTTAACATACAGAGTTTGTAATCACCGTATATATAAATTTAAATGTGATATATAATCTATCACATGCAAAACAATCAAACACTTTTATAGATGATGACTACTAACAGCCAAGTTTGAAATTTTTAATACATTTTCCATCAAATAAGTGACATTTGTATAAAATATAAAATTCACTGAAACAATGTCTAAGGAATTGCCACTGATATCTGGGCTGGATATTGAACCAAGAACAACATTTAAAATTTTACAGATTATAAAGGGTTCATTTAGTTATTATATGTTACAACACAAAAGTCCAGGTTAATGACATTGTTCTTGTCCCACTTAATTATGGTATGCTATATACAATGCATGTGTAGGTACATCTGAAATTTTATGACACCTATTTACACCTTTACCTATTTTTACAGGTTTTTTAGCGAGATACAATGACTGAATTGATAATATAATTGTATGAAGCATGTGTGTCCTGTGAAGAAACCTACATAGCATGCCCCATTGCCACAGAATTCCACCACACTTCTACAAAAAACAAGAACTTGTATTGATCACATGGATCTTAAAAGCCCAACGATGGTTTACTTGCGTAGCTGTGTCAGTCAATCTCCTTGCTAGGGCAAAACCAATGTGTAAATTCTTCTATCATAACTGTTTTTCTCTTTTGATGCTTAGTAAAAGTTTTTATGGTTATCGGGTTGATATCTCAACCAGTTGTTTCAAAAATACGACCCAGATATTAAGTCCCTTAAGGTGTGCTACACCTAATGGCTGGGACACACCATTTATACAAATAATGTTCCCCTTTCCTTAAGGATGCTAAATAATGATTCTAGGCCTTCCGGTATTTTGGAAGAAGTCGTTTAAAGGTTTTAACACATTTGACGTCTGTGACCTTGAATATGGGTTAAGGTCATTTCTTTTTGCAAACTTTGTTGGGCTTCATCAAAGGAAATTTCCAGCCAAATATAATGATTCTAAGCCTTCTGGTATTTTGGAAGAAGTCGTTTAAAGGTTTTAACACATTTGACCTCTGTGATCTTGAATATGAGTCAAGGTCATTTCTTTTTGCAAACTTTGTTTGGCTTCATCAAAGGAACCTTCCAGCCAAATATGATAACTCTACGTCTTTCAGTATTTCAGAAGAAGTTGTTTAAATGAAAAGTTGAAGGATGCCAGATGGACGACAGATGGACAGACGGACGATGGATGCCGCGCTATGGCATAAGCTCACTAGGCCCTTTGGGCCAGGTGAGCTAATAAAATACTCCAACTTTATGTGTTGATGACCCTAATGACCTTTTATGTGCTGACGGGCCATTAAGAATATAAAAATATTAACGTATATCTAGTGTTAGAGGTAACCTCGCTGCCTGCAACCATTATTCATTTAGAAATGACCAATAACAGACCCCGCCACATGACACAAGTTTCGGATAAAAACCACTTCATATGAAGGATTAAGTCTCAATATGTCTATTTCTGAGGGGGGAAAAATCACTCTCTGTTTGAACTGCCATGTACTAATTCATAGTAGACAAAAATGTCATCAGAATTGATAAATCATTTATGAATATTTACCTTTTTAAGGCTAACTTCATTATCTAACGGATGAGGGATTTCGGAGTTGTCATGTAGTAATGCAGGTGCTACAAAACTAAAGCCACGGAACAGTTCATGGGCTGTTGCACTTGGAGGAATTCCTGGGGAATCTGAAATGAAAAAGATGTCTGAGTATAGGTGTTCTGATATAACATAGCACTACAGACCATGTTTACCTTTAGGTGTTCTGATATAACATAGCACTACAGACCATGTTTACCTTTAGGTGTTCTGATATAACATAGCGCTACAGACCATGTTTACCTTTAGGTGTTCTGATATAACATAGCGCTACAGACCATGTTTACCTTTAGGTGTTCTGATATAACATAGCACTACAGACCATGTTTACCTTTAGGTGTTCTGATATAACATAGCACTACAGACCATGTTTACCTTTAGGTGTTCTGATATAACATAGCACTACAGACCATGTTTACCTTTAGGTGTTCTGATATAACATAGCACTACAGACCATGTTTACCTTTAGGTGTTCTGATATAACATAGCACTACAGACCATGTTTACCTTTAGGTGTTCTGATATAACATAGCACTACAGACCATGTTTACCTTTAGGTGTTCTGATATAACATAGCACTACAGACCATGTTTACCTTTAAGTGTTCTGATATAACATAGCACTACAGACCATGTTTACCTTTAGGTGTTCTGATACAGACCATGTTTACCTTTAGGTGTTCTGATATAACATAGCACTACAGACCATGTTTACCTTTAGGTGTTCTGATATAACATAGCACTACAGACCATGTTTACCTTTAGGTGTTCTGATATAACAGCACTACAGACCATGTTTACCTTTAGGTGTTCTGATATAACAGCACTACAGACCATGTTTACCTTTAGGTGTTCTGATATAACAGCACTACAGACCATGTTTACCTTTAGGTGTTCTGATATAACATAGCACTACAGACCATGTTTACCTTTAGGTGTTCTGATATAACATACAGACCATGTTTACCTTTAGGTGTTCTGATAGCACTACACACCATGTTTACCAGGTGTTCTGATATAACAGCAGACATATTTACATAGCACTACCACCATGTTTACCTTTAGGTGTTCTGATATAACAGCACTACAGACCATATTTACCTTTAGGTGTTCTGATATAACATAGTACTACAGACCATGTTTACCTTTAGGTGTTCTGATATAACATAGTACTACAGACCATGTTTACCTTTAGGTGTTCTGATATAACAGCACTACAGACCATATTTACCTTTAGGTGTTCTGATATAACATAGCACTACAGACCATGTTTACCTTTAGGTGTTCTGATATAACATAGCACTACAGACCATGTTTACCTTTAGGTGTTCTGATATAACAGCACTACACACCATGTTTACCTTTAGGTGTTCTGATATAACAGCACTACAGACCATATTTACCTTTAGGTGTTCTGGAAGTAAATTCTGTATCAAAGTAGAATGCATCATCTGTCTGTACAACAGCTGGTTTGAATGGTGGGTTAATTTTCCTTGTCATCAGTCTATCAAAGTCTATGGTCGAGAAAAAGGGCTGTTTTTTTATGTCTTCAATACCATTGGCTCCCATTCCTGCAAGAAGAAAAGTTTGATTGAAATTCAACAAGGTAAGTAACTACTGAGCAATTTAATGTTTGTTTATTTGACATGAAAATATTTGAATATTAGAAGCTGAAAGAATTATTACAACATGTCACAGTCAGATGTCAAATTCTATATATTTTGAACCTTAGGCATGCTAACTGCTTCTTTTGATCAGTGATATGGAGGAGTCTGGTTGTCATTTCCTGTCAGATCAGTAATATGGAGGAGTCTGGTTGTCATTCACTGTCAGATCAGTAATATGGATGAGCCTGGCAGTCATTTACTGCCAGATCAGTGATATAGAGGAGTCTGACTGTCATTTACTGTCAGATCAGTGATATGGAGGAGTCTGGTTGTCATTTACTGTCAGATCAGTAATATGGAGGAGTCTGGTTGTCATTTACTGTCAGATCAGTGATATAGAGGAGTCTGGTTGTCATTTACTGCCAGATCAGTGATGTAGAGGAGTCTGGCAGTCATTTACTGTCAGATCAGTGATATGGAGGAGTCTGGTTGCCATTTACTGTCAGATCAGTAATATGGAGGAGTCTGGTTGTCATTCACTGTCAGATCAGTAATATGGATGAGCCTGGCTGTCATTTACTGCCAGATCAGTGATATAGAGGAGTCTGACTGTCATTTACTGTCAGATCAGTGATATAGAGGAGTCTGGTTGTCATTTACTGTCACATCAGTAATATGGAGGAGTCTGCTTGTCATTTACTGTCAGATCAGTAATATGGATGAGCCTGGCTGTCATTTACTGCCAGATCAGTAATATGGATGAGCCTGGCTGTCATTTACTGTCAGATCAGTAATATGGATGAGCCTGGCTGTCATTTACTGCCAGATCAGTGATATAGAGGAGTCTGGTTGTCATTTACTGTCAGATCAGTAATATGGAGGAGTCTGGTTGTCATTTACTGTCAGATCAGTAATATGGATGAGCCTGGCAGTCATTTACTGCCATATCAGTGATATAGAGGAGTCTGGCAGTCATTTACTGTCAGATCAGTGATATAGAGGAGTCTGGCAGTCATTTACTGTCAGATCAGTGATATGGAGGAGTCTGGTTGTCATTTACTGTCAGATCAGTGATATGGAGGAGTCTGGTTGTCATTCACTGTCAGATCAGTAATATGGATGAGTCTGGCTGTCATTTACTGTCACATCAGTAATATGGAGGAGTCTGGCTGTCATTTACTGTCAGATCAGTAATATGGATGAGCCTGGCTGTCATTTACTGCCAGATCAGTGATATAGAGGAGTCTGACTGTCATTTACTGTCAGATCAGTGATATAGAGGAGTCTGGTTGTCATTTACTGTCAGATCAGTAATATGGAGGAGTCTGGTTGTCATTTACTGTCAGATCAGTGATATAGAGGAGTCTGGTTGTCATTTACTGTCGGATCAGTGATAAAAAGATTTACCCAATCTGTTTTGTGGATTCCGTTTAAATAGAGCTCTGAGTAATGATTGTGCTTCAGGGGATAAAAATGGTGGCATTCCTAGTTTTGCTCTGAAATGAAAAAAAAGGAAGAAAATTAACAGAGTTTCACTGAAAATGTTCATTCTTGTAGTTGCTTCAGGCAGTAGAGTCAACACCATTCACTTGTGCACTTGGTGGATCTAAGAAACCTTTACTCTTTGAATGTATTCACAGAAGTATACTGGATGATTGTGCAATAGAAAAAAATCAGGTGAGATTATCAAATACAACAGCATCAATGTAAGTTTTCATGAATCCAGAAACATAAACTTATTCTGATGCTGTTGTGATTAAAATTCTTCCTTCAAAATGTAGTTGATTCAACTCACTTCAAAATTTGAGTCATTGTCTCTTTCCTATTTGATCCTTGAAACGGCAATGCACCTGTCAGCATTTCAAACTGGAAAGAAAAAAAAATCAATAAAAGGACAATAACAAGAGGCCTAATGGGCCTGCATCACTCAGCTGGGATTCCACATTAAAAAACATTAGTCAAATATGGATAGCTTTCCATAAAGCTGTATGATAACCAGAAAGATTTCTATTTTCCTACTGTGAATTTTCCATTTCTGGATAGCAACATTCCTCTGTACTCAATCTATAGTTTTGACAAGTCTTAGTTGATTCGATATACAAGATTTTTAGTGCCAGAAGTCGTCAATTGACGGACAAACTCATAACATCAGGTTTCAAAAGATGCAGGTTCATAAGAAAGTTTTACCGTTGCCATAGTTATCTCATTCAGAAATATTCTAATTCTTTATGTGAGATGAAGCTGGACGTGATTGATGCTTGTTAGTCTGCCTGTTGGTTCTGTTGTATACCTTGTTCTCATTTGAGAATGTAACTGTGTCATTGATGGAGCAGAGGACACTTACTAATCTGGAACACCTGGTCTTCTCCAATTATCTTTTCAGGAGTTTCTATGGAAATCTTTCTTTTATTCATATTTTTCCTTACTTTAATTAAATTTGAATTTGGATCATAACTGTTGACATGTTTGTATTTTCTTGTAGGTTTCTAGGCCTTTCAGTTGATCAGAAGAAGACGTTTTAACATCCTAACAAGATATCACAGAAGGTGACAATATCTCCCACACCGTGCTGTTTAAAAGACACACAGTCACATTAAAATAACTCCAAACATTAAGCCCTAAACATTAAGCACTGTGAATTCAACCTTTAAATTTCAACATATTTATACATAGATATTTGACATTGTATCACAATAACTGAAGAAAGACAATTTTTACTCTTGCCCGGTCTGGCCCTTAAACTCACAACATACAGCACCAAATCACCAACAAATCCCAGACAGCCAAACTGTTACACCACCTCACCATCCCCATATGCTGATTTGGAAAAAACATAAGCTTCCTGGTTCGACCTTTCTGTTTCCATTATAACAGAAGAAGTATCTAAACGGAGAACTTCTCCATAGCAAAAGGCACTACTAACTACATTACTTGCTTGATAACTGTACAAACAAGAGGCCCATAGGGCCTGTATCGCTCACCTGGATCTGTATGACAAACAGTACAATATCTGTGCATATGTTCCATAGTAGATGCTTAAAGCAATATGACAAATTACTCCATATGGGTTCTGTCACTTAGTAGCCAGCCCCTTCATCTGTGCAATGTTGAATTGAGACTTTCTTATGATGTTTCCAGTTAAATTTAATTGATAGCTTTCTTTGAAATCAAGGAAAGAAGCTGGTCAAACAATATAGCAGAAAAACTTAGTTATAGCTGGACGGATGACCCAGGACAGCAGAAGCTTACTTGCCCTTCAGATCATTGTTTACAGGTGAGCTAAAAATGGAGAATGACCTTACACAGATGGTCAGATGGAAGCATGGACAAATGGAGCCAAATTTAGTATGCCTCGCTAACACATTTCCCAGGGAAAACAAATTTAACCCTTGTGACATTGACTATGGGTCAAGGCCATTTCTTTCTTATCGCTAAACTGCCAGGATTCATTCCAGAACCTATCAGTTTAATATGCTTGTGGACCTCTTTGTTGATCAGAAGAAATTGTTTAAAGATTTTAACAAATGCAACATGTGACTTTGAATATGTGTAACAGTTTTTTCAAAATTTTTGTCAAGCTTCTACCCAGCAACAAACCAGCCAAAGATGACTTTTGGTCAGTTGGTTATTGAGAAGAGGTGGTTGAAATAAAATTGGTGACTGCAGACAGACAGAAATCTTATCTTTACTGACACTACAGGATTAGTACTGGTAGAATCTTATTCTAACTTTACTGACACTACAGGACTAGTACTGGTAGAATCTTATTCTATCTTTACTGACACTACAGGATTAGTACTGGTAGAATCTTATTCTAACTTTACTGACACTACAGGACTAGTACTGGTAGAATCTTATTCTATCTTTACTGACACTACAGGATTAGTACTGGTAGAATCTTATTCTATCTTTACTGACACTACAGGATTAGTACTGGTAGAATCTTATTCTATCTTTACTGACACTACAGGACTAGTACTGGTAGAATCTTATTCTATCTTTACTGACACTACAGGATTAGTACTGGTAGAATCTTATTCTAACTTTACTGACACTACAGGACTAGTACTGGTAGAATCTTATTCTATCTTTACTGACACTACAGGATTAGTACTGGTAGAATCTTATTCTATCTTTACTGACACTACAGGACTAGTACTGGTAGAATCTTATTCTATCTTTACTGACACTACAGGATTAGTACTGGTAGAATCTTATTCTATCTTTACTGACACTACAGGACTAGTACTGGTAGAATCTTATTCTATCTTTACTGACACTACAGGATTAGTACTGGTAGAATCTTATTCTAACTTTACTGACACTACAGGACTAGTACTGGTAGAATCTTATTCTATCTTTACTGACACTACAGGATTAGTACTGGTAGAATCTTATTCTATCTTTACTGACACTACAGGACTAGTACTGGTAGAATCTTATTCTATCTTTACTGACACTACAGGATTAGTACTGGTAGAATCTTATTCTATCTTTACTGACACTACAGGACTAGTACTGGTAGAATCTTATTCTATCTTTACTGCCACTACAGGATTAGTACTGGTAGAATCTTATTCTATCTTTACTGACACTACAGGACTAGTACTGGTAGAATCTTATTCTATCTTTACTGACACTACAGGATTAGTACTGGTAGAATCTTATTCTATCTTTACTGACACTACTGGTAGAATCTGTTTGTTCCTGACATGGTAACTTACCATCAGGACACCATAAGACCATTTGTTCTTGCCAACTTACCATCAGGACACCATAAGACCACCAATCAGCAGCTGTACCATGACCTTTCCTGTTGACAACTTCTGGAGCCATATACTCAACTGTTCCACAGAAGGAATAGGTTTTCTTCTCATCGAATATTGACTCCTTACTGAGCCCAAAGTCTGTCAATTTGATATGGCCATCTGTGTCTAGTAATATGCTGAAAAACAAAGGAATATGATTATAGTAGATATTGTTGTGATTATTATAGTAGATATTGCTGGTGAGTAGTGAGGATTATAGTAGATATAGTTGTAAGGATTATAGTAGATCTTGTTGGGGAGTAGTGAGGATTATAGTAGATATAGTTGTAAGGATTATAGTAGATCTTGTTGGGGAGTAGTGAGGATTATAGTAGATATAGTTGTAAGGATTATAGTAGATCTTGTTGGGGAGTAGTGAGGATTATAGTAGATATAGTTGTAAGGATTATAGTAGATATTGCTGGTGAGTAGTGAGGATTATAGTAGATCTTGTTGGGGAGTAGTGAGGATTATAGTAGATATAGTTGTAAGGATTATAGTAGATCTTGTTGGGGAGTAGTGAGGATTATAGTAGATATAGTTGTAAGGATTATAGTAGATATTGCTGGTGAGTAGTGAGGATTATAGTAGATATAGTTGTAAGGATTATAGTAGATCTTGTTGGGGAGTAGTGAGGATTATAGTTAGAGCTGTGTATTGCCAGGGTAGTGATGATACGATACGTATTGCGATACATGGGTCACGATATTTTATGTATCACGATACATTGGAGACAAAACTATATAATTATCTGATATCACACTTCTACAATGCGGACTACCTTTAGATTTCAATGCCACATTTCAATCCTCGTGAAATAAATACATGATAATTATTACTGAATAAAAGCTCAGCAATGAAAAAAAGCTTCCTCTTGTTTATTTTTTGTTTACTTAGGTTTGAATTCTTCTTTAAAAAGACAAGTGTATCCACATGGCGATAGATTTTGTGATCGATTTGGCATGTGACGTGTGCTATCACATTTGAATTTTCTGTGAAACATCGACTTGAATGACACTAGCTGGACTGGTTTATACTGGCCTTCAGCAGACGTACTTGAAGATGATGAATCTGTACTCACTGACTGACATATAGTTCGTGTCGTGTGTACTACCGATGTCTCGTAAATGTGTTGTCATGTTGGTAGTGTTCCCGGAATACTTCAGTTTCTGCCCACATTCATTGCAAAATATGTGTGATTTATCTGTTTCCCGCCTATCGTTTGATTTGTATGCTCTAAATTTGAAATTTCGTCAACATGCAGCTTTAAACGCTGCCGGTGCAGATACAAATTTCAGTTCATCACAAGTTTTGTTGTCCATTTTAGCATAGCATATACGTTTGTCAGGGGAAATAACTACGGTTTTAAAAATAATATAGGTATCGCGATACCATTCAGGCTTGGGCAATTCATTGATGCATCGGTGAATCGTTTCACCTCTAATTACAGTAGATATTTTTGTGAGGATTATAGTAGATATTGTTGGGGAGTACTTAGAACAGGCATACTGACTTCTCTGGTTTGAGGTCCCTGTAGACAATGCCTAAAGAGTGGAGGTGGTCCAGAGCTAGTGCTAATTCAGCCAGGTAAAATTTGACATCTTCCTCTGTAAACATCACCTAAAGAAAAATAATGGCTCAAAGCTGATCATCTGTGTTAGAATCACAAGTTTGCTAAAATACTGAAATCTACTTAATAAAACATCATGACACATTTATTATCATTTATGTTGTAGTGATTGGTTTGGTATCATTTGTGTTGCTGTTGGTGACAGTTCTAGTATCATTTGTGTTGTTGATGGAAATTAAACTAATGATGCTGAAACATCTAGTTTTCCTATATACACGATAGTAAAATTTAACCCCCCCCCCCTTCCTTCCCACCGGAAAATGTGCAACCCTGGGGCCATGAAATTCACAATTTTTGGTAAAGCACTTTAAGATGCTTCCACTCGTGAAGGGTATTTGATTCTACTTTATCTAGGTCTTGAGAGGAAGATTTTTGAAATTTAAGTCAATCTGACTTCTTTTTGGCCACGCCCATCAGCCCTTTGGGGTCAGTCAGGATCAAAATGGGTATACCATCAAGCCGCCATCCTTCTCTCATAATTCTAACCAAGTTTGAAATATTTCCAATGGAAATTAAACAAATTATAATAAAAAATCTAGTTTTCATGAAGGGTATTAGAATAGGTCACCATGAGACCTAAAAGTCCTCCAGAACATGTTATTACACAGCAGAACATGTTATTACACAGTAATAGAAAAGGCCCATATGGCCTGAATCACTCACCAAGTTAGATTTGCTGAAATTGATATATTTCAACTAAGGGAGAAACACTTAAAACATCTGTATCTATTTCCCTGTATCAAACTTGACCATCACTCATGCCATATGGGGCTAAAATCCACCATTTGTACAAACTGATTCCTTTTCATCCAAGCATGCATTAGGTCAAATCAAGAAAACATCCAGGTATTCCTACAGAAGAAGGTTTTTAAAAGGGACACACAGTTTATACAAAACTGATTTTCTTCACCTGAGGATGCTTCAGACCAAATTTTGACACTATCCTGCATTTCTTAAACAGCAAGATAGATTTTAAAGTTATTGATAGATTTTCCCTATTGGGCCCACCCCTCTGGCCCCAGGGTGCTCGATAACCCATGCTTTATACAAAACTGATTTTTCTTCACCCAAGGATGCTTTAGACCAAATTTCGACAATATCCTACAATTCTCATTGGTTCCCCTCCCCACCAAGAATGCGTTAGACAAAATTTGATTAAAATCAGTTCAGTCATTCATGACTATTTGCAATTTATAGGAAAAATTGATAAGACAACGGATCATGACCCTTTGGCCCAGTAATAAAAATGTCCCTACCTCCTTGGACAGACGTGTGAAGAGGTCACCTCCTCGCAGGAACTCCAGTATCAAGTAGAGTTTGCCCTCCGTTTGGAATGCTGAAAAATGACAGAACATTATATGCTATATCTTATACATCCTTGCAGTACTTTTCATTCTTACATCGTGAATGGTTTTTCATTCTTACATCATTAATGGGTTTATCACTTGATGCCCAGCATTACAATATGGTTTCAGGATGGGGATCTCAACTGTTTCAAAGAAATTACCAACAAACTGAGTCCCTAGGAGTAGAGCTAGACCCCAAGGATAATTCTTACATCATGATTGTGTTTGTCTCTTTATGACCTGCAATACTATACATGTTATGGTATGGGGATCTAAACTGTTTCAAAGAAATAACTCTTCTTTCCTATTGAGCTCCTCTCCTGTCCAAGGGGGCCAAAATATATATTTCATACAAAACTGATTCCCCTTTACCCAAACATGCTACAGATCAAATTTGGACAAATCCAATAATTCCTGCAGGGGAAGGGTTTTAAAGAAATTGCTCCATTTCTTCTATCAGGCCACTGGGGGTTGGGGTCCATATAATTTACAATTTTGTATAACTTTTCCACCATGGAAGGATTCTGCCAACATTCAATGACATTAGTTTGGGAGTTTTTCCATAAGAAGTAAACAAAATTTAAAAAGATAACAGATACATGATAAGTCAGCATGAAACCTTTGCTTAGCTGACCTAAAAATACCACAATAATTCACATCAGACCATATCATGATAAACACTTTATGGAAAGAGTATGATGATAAGCAGAATATCATAAACAGGATGATAACATCCCATATCATAATGATAGGGCTCCACAGAACCAAGGAAGATTACTTACCATAATCCAATTTTACTATAAAAGGGTGATTAACATCAGCTAGAATGTCCCTTTCCATCTTTGTCCGCTGTCTATCTCGAACTGTAATTATTAAAAAACAAAATATTAAAAACGTGTATATCTATTATTAATATATACATCTGAACTCACTTTCTCCCTGGAATCCTGATAAAAAGAATGAATAAAGAGGTCAATCAGCTGTTATACTTTACCCTATAGGGCATTTTTTTATTAGAAAATAATTTTGAAAAATATATGTTATTTTTTTCCTTTATTACTTTACACAGCATCAGCCTTAACTTTGCCTGAGGTAGGTCTAATGAAAACAAACATGTCTACAGTAAAACTAGCTTGTGTCTAACACATTTGAATTGAATACATTGGATGAGTTTATTGTTTTGTACTGTCACAATCTTTTCTCTTCACCTTAAATTAAACACGGTGGATTCAAACACTGTTGAGTCAAATACATTTTGTGGTCCATCCCTTCTTAATTCTACCAAAATTTCCTTTTTTATGTTGAACATTGTTAATGAGCCAGTGTGAATTTATAAAGAATCAGGCAACCAGACTTGAAATAAAATACACTGTAGTCTGTTGACTGTAAATCAGTGTTTTGTTTACTTTGTGCATGGCTGTCGCAACAACAAGGACAAAAACAAGTGATAACTACCGCGCTATGCAGCTTGATATGAATACTAGTTTGCCATTAACATATTAGTTTAAGATTAAATTCATTTACTGGACATACATGTAAATATACCAAATACAAATTTTTATTGTATTCTTTTTTTATGTTATACACTCTTACAGTGTTGTTTGTGTATTGTTACACTTCATTAACATTTCAGTAATGCATTCAAATTTTTGCCCCTCAAAAAAGCAAATTGCTGATATATACAGCATATGTCCCTTATATAAACAAATAAGAATTGGAGTTGAATTCATTCAAAGTGTAAGACTTTTAATATATTGAAATAGATTCTTACAGAAAATATGAAATTTATTTGATGTCTTTTTGTTCTTGAGATATAAATTACTTTCCTAAACTTGGTTTTGTGATCCGGGCCAAGACTGGGTTATGGTGTACATCAGTGATTGACGACATAAAAAAAAAAACATAAGTTACACCCCTTGCCGCTATAATGCATGTATCTATAGCATGGGTTGGGTATTTGTGCCAAATCCCTGTGCTTTTCACCTGTAACTCACCAAACAGAATCAATTACACTGAAATTCTGGGTAAGGCTAAATTACCTTTTATTCACCAAACAGAATCAATTACACTAGAATTCTGGGGAAGGCTGCATAATCTTTTATTCACCAATCAGAATCAATACACAAAAATTGTGGGTTAGACTGCAACACAAAAATTGTGGGTTAGACTGCATTACCTTTAAGTGTTGCTTTCTTCAACACTTTCATTGCATAGAGTCCACCACTATCACTTCCTGTTACCTTTCTCACCAAAAACACCTATAAACAAAATCAAATAATGTACAGTGATTTTTTTATTACTCATTGTTACTATCACTGAGTCTATATGTTATGATATTGATATGACAATGTGAGCAGTAGAATGAAGTGAAATGAAAGAGTGTGTGTAAATGAGTGTTTGTTAGTGTTTATGACTAATATCCTAACTAAACAATGTCTGTATTCGTATGATGTATACCTTTATCACCAATAGAAAAGATAAGCCATGTCTTATTCAATTGCATATGCCTGTACTATTTCCAAATAATTAAAATTTGTTGACATGAAAAATCTCACATCATTACTGTTCAAAGTATAAAACGGCATTACAGCTGACCCAAAAAAGGGCATTTTTATCTCTGAAATTGGTATTTGAGCGTGTTTCTCAACTTTGCACTTATTTATAAACATAAATGCTGAATACACCCTGTTACAGTTATACTTCATACAAAAGTTGTATACAAGTTGTCCCAGTACTTCATACCTTTCCAAAGGACCCCTGTCCCAGCACTTTCAAAAGTTCGAAGTCAGATGCTGATACTCTTTCTCCATCCCTCATAAGATTGGTAACATCAATCTCTCTGTCCATTTCATTGTCATTCTGAAAACACAAAAGTTACTCAACATCTTTCCCACGGTATTGAAAAGACACGTAGTTTTCACTTAACCATTTCTTCATTATCATTTGGTTTTTAGTTTTCTGTGAGGGGATTAGGGAAAGGGGGAAAAATAAAACATTAAATTTAAATAAGCTACAACCATGTAATAAAAAGGTGAAAGCCAATTTTTTGATGTATTAATGATGAACAAGAGACTCATATGCTTTAATGGTCAGTGGACATAGAGGTAAAAAATTGTGAGCTGTTGCGAAGAAAATTTGGCAAAAATAAATACCTACAGTGCGATACAAGACTTAATATCATGATGCCTTTATTAGTTATCAATCTACAATTCATTTTCATGCGTCCTTTTCTACTTTGTTAAAAAACAATGGTTCTTGCAATGTACAAAGGAAGTACTTTCAAATGTTTTTTATGAGAACAGGACTCTGGACTCACATGTAGATTTATCACTACTTAATATTTCCTGTCCATCAGTAATCATCTTTTGTGTGTTTTTCTCAACAAGAGGTCATAAGGCCTTAAAAGTCTTCTGACTATAAAGACCTATATATGAATTTACTCAACTATTCTACAGCTTAATAAGAATTAAAGACTTTGTTGGTTCCTAAAAACATTGTCTGCAAACCTGAAATCCTATTCCTTATACGTAAACATGCAACTACAAAAATATCATAACCCTGGATCTATTGCTCACAATGCACTCAAAGTGAACTTAAATAATGTGTTACAGTATCAAAATACACATAACAAAAGGATAAAGCTAAATGCCACTAAGAAAGAAAGAAATCAGAAATATGAATCAAATGCCAGGAACAGAAAATTTCAAATGGAGTTGAAGAACGAGTTTGAATGTTTGGAATATGATGGTGAGTCTGGAACTATGTGATGTAGAACGTGTAGAAAAAATACAGACATTTCTGATGGGAAATCTCATTTTGTAATACAATGATGATGAGGACATATGCGATGACCAAAGTGGTGTTGATGATGAAGAGGATGAAGTTTTGTGGCAAACCCATTGTCCGAGATATGTGATTTTACGGATGAGTTCACTACACAGGCTTTATGATATGAACATTGGTATGTAGTATATTTTATGAGTGGATATCTTATAATCTTAATAGTGTTCCTCTAATCTGAATGAAACAATGTAAAGAATATCTAACACTTTTCAAAAGTTTTCAGTGATGGAAACAAAAAAACAAGAGTATCAGCAAAATTGATGAATGCTCCCCAAAATTGACTTTATTGGGCATAAAATTTTATCAAAGGACAATAACTCTGTAATTAAGGGGTAGCACACCCTGAATTTGGTATACTGCACATTTTTTTAGTATGACCAATGTATACCCCAAGTTCCATGCTCATGATTTTAATGCAAGCAAAGCTATGCTCATGACACAAAATTTTAGCACAGGGCAATGTCCGAGAGGTCATGGGCCTTGACTTTGCTACACTGCACCTTGCTTTTGTATGACTGATATATATATCATGTTTCAATAATCTAGTTTATCTACATGCAGGCAAAGTAATACCCAAAACATACAAAACTTTAATAATGGGCAATACTATGTAATTACGGGATTGAAAGCCCTACCATTGGTCCACTGCACATTGTCTTTGTATGATTAATGTGTACACCAAGTTTCATTATACTAGCTTAAATGCAAGCAAAGTTATGCTCTGGAAAAGATATTTTTAACAAAGGGCAATAACTCTGTAATCAAGGGGTCAAAGGCTCTCAATTCAGTACACAGCAAAATTGTCTTTGTATGATCAATGTATACACTAAGTTTTGTGATTCTTGCTTAACCGTGATCAAATTTAAACTTATGCTCCGGTCAGAAAATTTCTATCAAACGGCAATAATTATGGAGGGGGTCGAGGGCCCTGAATTTGGTACAATGCATGTTGTCTATGTATGATGAATGTATACACCAAGTTTCATTATTGCACTAGCTTAAATACAAAGTTCTAATCCAGACATAAAATTTTAACTAAGGGCAGTCAGGAAACTGTGCAATTAAGGGGTCAAGGGTCCTGAATTTGGTACACTGCACATTGCCTTAGTTTCATGTTCCTAGTTTAAATGTGCGCAGTTATCCTCTGCACGTGGAACAACAAACAGACATGACAGTGACTTTATGCTTCCCCGAAAATTTTCAATAACCAATTGCACCAATGGACTGTACAAATTCATAGTGATTGCTTCACTGATATTTAACCAACAGATTTCAATGGAGAGATTGTTAAGTTAGGCCCTATATCTGTGCATAGACAATCTTTGAATGCCCAGAGCCAAACAAGTTAGATATTTGCTATTTTATGTATTTTGAACAATCAGAATACTATAAAAAAAAATAAGGAATTATGTTTGCATAATTAATTTGCAAGCTTTATTAAATTTTTCACCAAATATCTTGATAAATTGCCTTCCATTGTCTGTTTTATCAACAAAATCTGGTCAGCTTAATGGTAACCACATCGTAAGATAGCTGATATGTGGTTCAACCATCTCATATACTAATACAACTTCTACCCCATAAGATATTATATTCTATGCAAATCAGCTGAAACACTTCAAAACTGAATATGAAGTCTTTCAATTAATGTGAAATATGCCTCTTTTCAGATTTAAGACTCCATAACTACAACCAATTAGAATGCAGGGATCCAATTTTACCATTAGAGAGTCCCACTTATTACAAACCAATTGTGTCCAAAAATGTTAAACAGGAAATTCTTTATTATTTCTATATAAACAATAATCATAACATCTCAGGGTCTTTATAAACTCTTACTTATTTTTATAGTTTTGTTTTTGTCTCTTCAGTGACAAGTGAATATATCATACAAGGCAGCTTCAAAAGTTTCTGGGTATTCTGGTGAGAATTGAAATCGGTAGACCACTGAATTTGGCAGGATCACTCAATGTTAATAATTGTTGGACGATTAACAGGCAAAACATTTCCAATTGTACAATTAATATGGTCACCCTGTATCCCAATGTGGTAGGTTATGTGTGAATGGCACTGTCGCAGGCGAAACAATGCCTCTATGTCCATATCTAAAATTGATTTACAATGGAATTGATATATCATACAATGTAGGAGGAAACAAATCGTTACGTAGTGACTTAGCAATTAACGGTTTTGAAAGATCAAATTATTATTCATTATGAAAGACTGAGATATTGGTCCATTTTTATTTCAGTGCTTAATATGGTGTAACATTCCTGGTTTACATGTCTCGTTTTCTGCTGATGACATTCCTGTGCACAAAATCAAATGCGCAAAGTCTCTTGAAAATTATACAAATCCCGGAGCCGCTCAGTTATTTGACATGAACCGCAATTACCACTGACTGTCATTTTAGTTGTCAGATGCATTTCCGCATTCTGTTTCAGTTCTTACCTGCTCGTCCACAAGCATGTCTTCGGTAGAGGCAGCCTGTCAAAATAAAGCAACTGGTCAGAAACGAATAATTCATTATGAATTAACATCATAAAGATGCTGGCTGGCGTACAACGTGTATAGTAACAATTTTCACAAACGCTGTCAAACAACTTTCTATAAATAACCTTGGCTCAGATATGTTTCCATGGCATATACACAGAAATGATGTACACATATACTTACCTCTGCTTCGTGGACCATCTCCATCCGCCTCCATGGATCTGCAAGTTGTGCCAGTGGCATTTTGGGGCTGAAAAGTGGAATTTTGGAAAGCTGAGCTAGCGACACCAGACTAGCCGTACCTAACTTCCCGAGACCCCGACACAATATGGCGGCTTCCCTTTTCAGATGGAGGCTCTCCCATGCTACTTCCTGTGACGTTGAGAGTGTTTTGGCATTTTGGCGCAGAATTAAAACTCCGTATTCACCTGGTACCGGTCACATTTATTTATCATACTTTTAGTTGTTATTACACACACATATTTAATTAAGTACGTATGCATATGTTATCAATTGATAACATGTTAAATGGAAAGCCACGAAAGAATATTGGACCTCATATTTACTAATGAGGAAAACATTGTGGAAAATGCACAGGTTAATAGCACCATTGGTAAAAGCGTTCATGGATACATTAACTTAAGTTTATATGTAACAGTGATAATCAACAGGAGAATACCAGGAAACTGATGTACAACCATGACAACTATGAAAAGATAAGGGAAGAGTTATCAGCAAATTGGGAATCATATTTGAATGGATCTATTGATGAAAACTGAAAGAAATTTGCTGCTAAACACATTCCTGAAAAAAATTCATAAAGAAAAGTTATAAATGATGGGAATATTTTGAAAGAAGCACCGATGCTGGCAAAGATTGATGGAGACAAGGGATGAATTGAAACACAAAGAATACATAAAGGCAAGAAATAAAGTGAAAAACTTGGTGAGAAAGGCCAAAAAAAAAAGATGGAACAATCTTGGTTTTTCCAGTAATGGTCTAACTCGGTTTTAAACCTATCGACAGTTTTTGCAGTAACAATATGGTCTGGTAATTTTTTCTAGATCAATGCTGATCTTATGGAAAAAAATTTTTGCGTAGTCTAGTTGAAGCTGGTTTTGGAAAAATTGTTTTCGAGTTGACTCGCCAACTGTGGCATTGAGTGGCCTCAGCCCATAGTTGGACCGAGTTGCAGCATTCCTGGTCATACATTCCATGGGTGATTTTATGAAGTTCAATCATTTCTCCCTGACTCTCCTGATGGCTAAAGTTGGTAGGTTCAGCTTTTCCAATCTCTGGCTGTAGGTAAGATTTTGCATGCCAGGTAGGCATTCAGTTGATCTTCTTTGAACTTGCTCAATTTTATCAACATACTTCATCTGGTATTGTGCCCAGACTGAGCTCGCATAGTCCAAGTGAGAGCGTACTAAGCATTTATACAATGGGATGAAAGATTGTTGATCCATGAACTGAAATGTCCTTCTGAGCAGTGCAAACACGGAGCTGGCTTTCTTTACTTTTTCGCTTACATGATGACCAAATGATAATTCCGAGTCTATGATAACTCCGATATCCTTTTCCTGAGCCCTAGCCTGCAAGGATTTTCCCTGGAGTTGGTAGATTTGCGTGAATGTTTCCTGTCCTCTGGCTGTTCAGTTATATAATCTGATGTGTTTGCGCTTGTCAGGATGCATTTGAAGTAGCCACATGTTGCTCCAATTTGTCATGTGATCTAAATCCTTCTGCAGACTAATAGTATCCTTCTCGTCTTGTATGACTTTATAAAAATTTTAGTATCATTTGTAAAGAGGTCAATGTCTTAACTACACTTGGTAGGTCGTTTACGAAGATTACAAATAATAACGGCCCAAGTACAGTTCCTTGGGGTATTCCAGACGTTACCACAGCCCATTCGGAATCTGTGCCATTTACTGACACTTTTTGTTTCCGACCTTTTAAAAATGCTGCTATCCAGACAACTATCTCTTTTGGAATACGTACAAACAGCTAGATGGAATTGCTGCTACACCGCCGACGTCCTCAGCCAAGGCCATCCTTCATCGCATGTTTCCACCCCTTTCTCGGTACACTCTCAGGATGGGGGGTCCACAGTGGTGATCAGTCACTGCGTGTCGATGGTGGGTCTCCAGCTACTCTCGTCCCTCTTCATCCAAACCTAACAGGATGCCCTCTCTGCTGCCTGGGTGAGCCGCTGCACTACCCTTCTTCTAGTACAGCCGGTAACACCCAGTGCACTGAGCATTCTCCAAACAGATGGTGCTGGGAAGCCTCTACACCCAATCTCTACCGGGAAGTTCCAAGTTTTCCAGCCTTTCTCCCTGCATTCTGCCAGTAGCTCTTCATGCTTGGCTTTCTTCCTCTCATGGGCTGTGTCTGTTCTTTCCTCCCATGGTATGGTCAACTCAATGACTGCAATCTTCTTTGTCCCTGATGACCAAAGGACTAGATCTGGTCTGAGGTAGTTGGTACAATCTCCGGGAATGTAAGTTGCTGGCCGATGTCTGCTACCAACTTCCAATCTCCCGCCAGATCCAAGATGCCGCTTCGCCCTATCTTTCCTGTTGGTAATGTTTCCCCTGCCTTCACAAACTGTATGGTCTTAGGTCCCGGTGCCTTCTGCTTAATCCTGCTCATCCTCTCCCTTTCCAAGATGTCTGCCAGCTCTCGTAGGACCTGATTATATCGCCACGTGTACCATTCCTGTGACAGAGCAATGCTGCAGGAAGACAGTATATGCTCCAAGTTCCCTCTCCTTTCACAAAGGGGGCAATTCGGGTTATCGGTTAGGCTCCATCTCTCTAGGATGGCAGGTGTCGGCAGAGTGTCATAAACTGACCGTAGGAGAAACCTCAGCTGGTAATGAGGGTACCTCCAAAGTTCTGTCCAGGTAAGTGATCTTTGCTCTGTGGTCCATCTGGTCCACACCCCCTGGCTTCCCATTTCGACGGCCTTTGCTTGCCTACTCTCTTCTTCCTTGGATCGAATCTCTCTCTGGATCATGTCCCTTCTCTCTGATGTACTTGCATCTTTCCCGTAGGTCATTTCCGTCATCCCGAGGCCTAGTCTACCTTGTGCGACTGATCCAACAATATCCTTATGTGGGAGTCTACTTTCCGCCTTGTCTACTGCTTTGCTAGCTGACCACTTCCTCCCTGTTCTTACTTGTACTCCTGCCATCCGCACTTTCTCATCCCTCGAGTCTCGTAGGGTCATTTTCAGCCTGGACTTTCCCACCTTAAATTCCTCCACTAACGAGGTGATTGGTAATTGGAGTTTGGCTGTTCTGCTGTAGAGGCCAACGGATGTGAAGCTTGGTGGTACACCAAGCCACTTCCAAAGATTCCTGTTGACAACCCTTTCAATCTTCTCTACTTGTGAGAGTGATTTCATACAACATCAATGGCCATGTAAGTCTGGGTAAGAGTCCATGCTGGTACATCCACACCTTAAATTTCCCTGGTAGACCGGTCTTGTCAATGTTTCTCATCCCTTCCTCCACTTGAAAATTATATGACTGCAACTTGCTGATCAGGCGATTGTGTGTTACTGTATCAAATGCTTTTCTATAGTCCATATATATACAGTCTATTTTGTTTCCTTTATCTAAAGCCTTTGTCCATTTATCCAATACTTTCAAAAGTTGTAGGGATGTTGACCTTCCTTGTAGGAAACCATACTGTCTATCTGAGAAGTAACCATTTTTCTTCATATGACTATAGATATGTTCCTTTATTACAGATTCTAGGATTTCTCATATTACTGATGTAAGGCTTACTGGACGGCAGTTTCCAGCTGTGCACTTGTCACCCTTCATGAATATGGCAGAAACTCTTAGCTAATTTCCAGTCTTCTGGTTTGCTTCCCGTGGATAAAGATTGGTTGATTAGTTTTGTTAGTGGGTACACTATGTTATGGGCAATGTTTCTGAGCAACCTTGGTTGTAGATTTTCCAGACTTTTCAGGTGTTAAGGTCTTCAATATTTTCAGTACCATTTCTTCCTTTACCGTTAAGAGTGGCATTTCATCGATGACCTCCTTCAGGGGTAGACATGGCATGTCTTCCTCCTCCTCTTCCTTCACAAAAATATCACTTAAGAATTAGATCTTTTTGCTTTTTCTTGAAAATAGACCATGATGCCTTTTGACTTTCAAAGGACAATTTTTATCTTTTAGTATTTTGTTACATATTTGACATCACAATGTAAAGATAAACATGCTTATTACAATACAGTTTCAACAGATGCAAGATTTTATCTATTTAATAGGTTTTGGATCAAAAACTGACCCTTGGTGTACACCTGTGGTTCACTACATTAAATGAGTTATAGCACAGGCCCCTGGGGCCTTTTGGAATTTTTAGGTCATCTAATCCGAAGGGTCGAGATGACCTATAGCCATCGTGCTTCATCCGTCGTTGTCCGCCGTGCGCCGTCCACTGTGCGCCTGTGCATTGTCTTTTCATTCAAAAAACTTCTTCTCAAATACTAGAAGGCCTAGGGGGCTAATACTTGGCCCATAGCATGCTGGCATGGAGCCTTACAATGTTTGTTCAAATTAATGACATTGACCCACTTTCAAGGTCACAGTGGTCAAATATGTTGAAATATACAAACGACTTCTTCTCAATAAGCAAAAGTCCATGAGTGCTGATATTGGGTCTGTAGCATGCTTGGGTGAAGGACTACCAAGTTTGTTCAAATGAAAGACCTTCACCCACTTTCAAGGTCACAGGGGTCAAATATGTTAAAATATACAAACAACTTCTCAATAAGCAAAAGTCCAAGAGTGCTGATATTGGGCCTGTAGGATGCTTGGAGGAAGGGCTACCAAGTTTGTTCAAATAATGACCTTGACCCACTTTCAAGGTTACAGGGGTCAAATATGTTAAAATATACAAACAACTTCTTCTCAATAAGCAAAAGTCCAAGAGTGCTGATATTGGGGCTGTAGGATGCTTGGAGGAAGAGCTACCAAGTTTGTTCAAATAAATGACCTTCACCCACTTTCAAGGTCACAGGGGTCAAATATGTTAAAATATACAAACAACTTCTTCTCAATAAGCAAAAGTCCAAGAGTGCTAATAATGGACCTGTAGGATGCTTGGAGGAAGGGCTACCAAGTTTGTTCAAATAATGACCTTGACCCACTTTCAAGGTCACAGGGGTCAAATATGTTAAAATATACAAACAACTTCTTCTCAATAAGCAAAAGTCCAAGAGTGCT